TTACATATAGAATTTTGCAAGTAATCTTTAACTATGGCAACCAAAAGAAGATGGAAACAGTCGTATGACAGTAGTCGAAAGTACAATAGTAACTGGGAATTGACTTTTACATGGGTCGAAAAATCTCCTGATAAATCAGAATACGCTTATTGTAAGTTATGCCGTTGTAGTATTTTGCCTAGAGCTTGTAGTCTCACTGCTCATGAAAAGTCTGAAAAACACAGACTCCGTCAGCCTCCATTAACAGAACGGAATACACCTCAAGTGGAAAAGGCTGTTAGAAAACATTACAAGGTAAGGCAGTAGAACTTCATTGACTGTATTTGTGACCTGTCGCTGTGCCATCTGTTCTATTGACCACCTTAGTTAAATAATATGGGCTTTATTAATATCCTACCCCAATTAGGGAAAATCCACAGGTTATGAGACAGTCTAATATTTCAGGGGGTGGTAGATAGGCTGCACTCTCTCGTGGGACGTAGGTGGGTAGGGTTTATTGTCAGTTCTAGTTGTTTTGGGATCGTTGAAAGCATCAGAAAGCCATGAAACCCAGTCTTACCACCCTCTAAAATGTTGGACTGTACTGTGACGTCATCTGTGGTAAGATATTAATAAAGAACCAAATAATAATATCTTTTGGACAAGGGAGTTGTCACATATCGCTCCTGTCACGTGCCTGATTTAAGGATTTCTCCTTAAGAACCAACAGCACTCTGAAATAAAAATGTTGAGTCGTTGGCTCGTATTGGTCTAAGGGATGCCCCTTGGCCAATATACTCTCAACTTATTTCAGGAGTAGGGCAACTCAAGTTTTGGCACTACAAAATATCTAATATTCCTAGGCACACTCGGCTGGACACCCCCACTACTATAAAAAGATAGCCCCCAGGTTATGATAGTCTACTATCATAACCATGTTAACACATAACATTTATTGCTCACACAATCATCAGAGCTAGACAGTTAGAATGGTGAAATAGGGACACCCAAGTCAGCCATGCAAATGTGTGCATGTAATCGGTACAATATATACATATAATAGTGAATAGATCAACAAGAGTTCATTGAAGGGAGCTCAGGAGTCAGTGACACAAGCCAGACAGTGAAGCAGCCAGATCTTGTTCCAGGAGAGTACATGAGTTCATCATCGGTCAGATCAGGTACTGTGGGAATAGAGCATGAAGGGTGAATAAAAGATCACTTAGCCCAGTTCGTAGGTCAATGCTTCCCTCAATCCATGGTGATTCGACTGTAATTGACTCAATCAGTAGTTGGGCCTTGATTTAATCTGGTACCAGCTGACTGTCACGAGCTAGGACACAGGACCTGCACAGGAGCCCACCAAAGCTCTTGGAGACAGTGATGCCCACTGCAGGTCTCACAGGTGATGACACAATAAATGCAGAAGAGCCCAACAAAGCTCTTGCAGACTGGTTCTCTGGATTGATGACATAGGTGTCTGCAATTGTCCACTGGTCCTGGAACTCACAAACAAGCTCTTGCCATGTTGAGGTGGTGGCACAACATACATGACTTTTGGGATACTCTTGGTGCACAGAATGGTATGGGTTGGTGGTGGTTGGCTGGACTGTGATTCGTCTGCCTGATCTCTAAGGAGGTATCATCCCAAGCTTAGGAAATCTTCCAAGATAGAAATTGAACTTTGTATACGCCAATTTCTACATAGACTGTGTACACGTCTTGACACTGTGGGATCAGGCTAAAGAATGTTTTTTCAAAATCAAACTAGCGTCTCTAGGAAAGAAGTCCCCTGTATTCCTGCCCAAGGAGTAAACCGGTTTACAGGAATTTCTAAATAAAATACCAGAATTCGCCAACCTACAGTTGGAAGTTTGAAAATGAAGATTTATCACAGCAACTAGAGGGTCTAGAAATTAATATTTTACCAGATAAAGGTATAGATCAATATACGGGACTGTATACTTTTCCGGACGGGTTTAAGTTTGAAATTTGACTTAGCGCGAGGGATTTCAGAGTCCTGACTCGTCCATTGTGTAGGGTGGCTGCTCACCTCACGACAGGAGTGATTAAGACCAGTGCTCCTCAACCTTGTTTACACCTGTAGCCAAGTGAAATAACAGTATCTCATTTGTAAACCCTCTGAGCAACAGCAGATGTCGCATTAGCTGAGAGTTGTCAGTTTATGAGATCAGATTGAACAAATAGACTGCTATTTGTTACATCTGTTTTAGTTTCATGTTTGGTTAGCTGTCAGGTGGGCTACGAAACAAGTTCCATTGGTTAATGCAGGGCTCTTCAGCTAAGTTTACTTAGCGGCAAAAAATTAGAAAATGGAACCCGAACGAACAAACTTTATTTTCAAAGGGTTACAAATTGGGCACGCAGGCCCGTCTGACATTTAGCCCTTCTAAGCACTCATTTTTCAGAGTACCAATGCCTGTTATCAATAATGCATGTTATGTATCTAATAAAGAAATATACATTATAGAATAATGCATACACATATGAATACACAATCTTACATACTCTTACATTCTCATACATACATACGTAATACATTCACACGCGCACCTACATACATGCACTGACATAAAACACACACATACATGAACATACATGCACATATAGATACATACATGCACGGTCTTCCGTTTTCCAACATGGCGACATGTGCTCATGCTTATAAGCCATGATTTTGCTTTTTATCCAGCTATTTCACTTTAACAATACTGAAATATCGACTCAAAGGCAGCGCAGAAATGTTTTACAGTACAAGGGGTCAGGGGCGTTGAAAGATGATTGATACAGTACAAGTTGCAATAATCAGAGAGCTTCCAGTTGAATAGCTCAGGTTTAGTGGGTAGTGGGTGTGACGAGGCTGATGAACTATGCTTAGAGTACATAAGGTTACAGAAAAATAAAATTTTCTGCTTATTTAAAAAAAATCACTAAATAACTGAAGAAGAAGAAACGCTGAAGAAATATAATGAACACAAAGCAAGGGGAAGAACACAAAAGCAAGGGGAAGAACACAAAAGCAAGGGGAAGACCACAAAGCAAGGGGAAGACCACAAAGCAAGGGGAAGAACACAAAGCAAGGGGAAGACCACAAAGCAAGGGGAAGACCACAAAAGCAAGGGGAAGACCACAAAGCAAGGGGAAGAACACAAAGCAAGGGGAAGACCACAAAGCAAGGGGAAGACCACAAAAGACATGGAGTGACATCATCAGAAATGAACACCAGCTTGTACAGTGATCCTTACATCTCCCACAACACCTCGCTGAGGTAAATGGTGGAAGAGAAGAAGAATAATACAAATCATCTCACCATTATGGAAAGATGACCTCATTGATGATTAAAAGGACAAGAAATATAATTCTAGATGAATCTTGTTCTTCTTCTTTAGCATTCTGAGCCCTTGAGGTTCATTGCTGCAGATATCACTCGCCTCCATTCATCTCTCTGGTTGGCTTTCTCTTTCTAGTTGGTGACAGTAAGTGTTTGCAGATCTGTCTGGACATTATCTCTCCATCGCTCCTTAGTCTGCCTCATGATCTTTGACCATTCATCTCCCTTGTGTATAGTTTTTACTTCTCTGTCATCTGACATTCTTTCAATATGCCCCAATTATTTCAGTCTATTAGCTCTCATGATGCCATTGATCAGTGGTGATTTAAACACATTATGAATTTCGTTGTTGCTTCTCACTCTCCATTCCCCACTATTTACATCTTTGATGGGTCCAAAGATTTGTTGTAAGACAAAGTAGATGAATCTACTGACATTTAAACACAAAAGCACTTGTCAAGAAATAGAATATGTAAATGCCAACAGTATGACTATGTTAGATGAAGCTCTCAATTGCTTGTATTCCTCTGGTCAGACATGCATTGCATTGTCAGACAGTGCATTGCAGTGCTTGTCAAAACTTAAGTCCTATGATAATTTTAAACCAGGCGTGAAGACCTTTATTTGCAGAACTGCCATTTGGGCATATTGTGGGAGAAAACATCTGTGCAGTAGAACAACATTGAAAGATAATTTTGTTGTAATTCGAAAGAAGAAGTCCTATTTAAGAAAGATAAATTTCAACAGATAGTGACAAGTTTTGGATTGATTTTCTTTAACACGAGTCTTTTAAAGAACTTGCCACCGTTGCTCTGCCTTGTTTAGTAACTCCAGTTCTTGAGGTCTTCATGAGTGCTGTATTCATCCCCAGTGAAGATTTTTTTCAGGAGGCTGTAATTCCCGTGGTCTCTGGGTAGTGAGTATGGTGTGCGCACCACAATTTGAGTGCTAGAGGCTTCGGGCAGTTCAATCCCCAGTTTTTAGGTTTTTTCACGCACTTGGACTAGAAGTCTTAGTGCCATGATGTGGTCCGGTGTTCCCAGCATTGTAGTCTCTGGGTAGTTGAGATCTTGTTTGTTATTTCACAGGTGGTGCCCCCCTTGTCAGCCTTCTAACTAGTGTGGGTTGTGTGCGCAAACTACTGAACATGTCCTGCAAGAAAGTCCCTTGTACAGCCCATTAAGAAGGGAATACTGGCCCACTGATTTAGCTCTGTACCCATAGTTGTTATAGAACTAAAAATTAAACTAAAAAGTTTATCACAAGAAGTTGTCAGTGTAAATCAGAAATCGAATACCCAAAAAAAAAAAAAAGAATGCAGAAGTGAGAATAAGAACAGAACGGCTCTTATCTTTATAAAAAATGTTTCAAGGACTTTACTGCATCTCTCTGTCAAAGAACATGTCTATTGACAAAGTGCATGGTGCTAGTTTCAGTGGAGGCGATAGTGGTGAACTTAGTTCTGATATTTTCTTATGTTGGTGTGAAACGGCAATTTTCGTTTCTGGCTTTTTTGGCTTTTTTCTAGCGGTGTTTGGCCGATTTTCTACATTTTGAGTTAGCAACCGTGGAGCAGACGAACTTTGCTATCGCTGGTAGCAGCTGACGCGGGTCCTTTACGGTCCTTATCTTTTCTCCGTGGACACGTCTTGGTGTGTTAGATTAAGTAATGGCAGAAAAGACAGAAGAAGTAAGTGAAAATTAAGATACGAGCAGAAATACCTATAAAGGTTCTTTAAATATTAATTGACGCTGAGGCGTGTGTAATTTCTTTAACTCGACTGCTAGAACAACAGTAACAGAAAGTATACCAAACAACGAGCGGTTTCCATCGAAACACATAAGACGTACGTAGCAGAGAAAGCAGAAGATAATAAAAACTGTTTATATGTCAACTGCCCTTCAAATTAAATAGACAGTAAAGTATATGTAGGGTGACCATAATATCTTGAGCTCAAAATGGGACATCCAACTAATATTTGAAGCTGAAAACGGGACATCCCAAGCATGTTAGTCTTTAGTTACGCTGTTATTCTGCAGTTCATTAATTATTATGATTACAGATGCGCAAAACAATGAAATATAATAAGGGGTCTACAGATATAACTAAGTTATATTCTGTTGTTGAACTAATTCCTTATTTGCTGCAGAATGGGACATTTGACATTTTGGGACTGTCCCGCTGAAAACTGGTAATATGGTCACCTTTCATTAGGACATTAAAAGTATCTAAGACTGTGTTGTTGTTGTTATCGATCCAGCGGCGCATGAGCTTTCGCCCTTTGGCCCAATGCCATGTAGTGGAATTTGCATGTTTTCACAAGCTGTTCTTTTCCTCCGTACAAGGTGTTCCACTTGTCTGGTCTCGGAGGGAGTAGCGTTCTTCTTGTCTCACTGAGTTTTGGGCACTCAAAGAGATGGTGTTCAACAGTTTCGTAGGGGTAGTTACATAGCTGGCACTCTGGGGAGTGTTGTGGCTGTATTCTGTTTAGGTGTCCATTGAGTGGAGTATGTTGCGTTCTAAGTCTGAAGATGGTGGCCTGGTCCCTTCTTGTTAGATGGTTAATGCTGTCATTAGGATCAGGGCCAGACATATGTCTATAAACCTCTCTTCCAGTGTCTCCCATCTAAGACTGTGAAATCTAGTACTAATAAGGCCTACAAAAATAACTATAAGTAAGATTTATTCTGGTGTGTATTCCTAATTATTATAAAAATGGGACAGTTGCCTGTTGTTGTTGTTGTTGAGCGTGACTGGGAAATACAGAACAAATAGTACTGTCCCAGTGAAAACTGGTAATATGGTCACCCTAAGTGTGTGCATCACAGAGCAGTTCACTCACTTGACCTAGAAATCTGAAAGTTTGCTGAAGGCTGAGGACATAGTCTAATGCCATGTGGACGTGGAAAGCAAGAGGAAATTACCAAATTATTATCCGAAGACATTTGTTATGAGAAAATAAGCAAGCATGTTGTAAGAGTCTCCTAATTAGGAGTGTACTTAAAGTTGGAGTGCATCTACCTGAGAGGCAAGGAACCAGCAGTCTGGAAAATTGAAACCATTGGAAAGTCCTGGTTGTTCGTCCACTTCTAGACTTCGGGATTGTTCAGAGCCTGAGTGTTGCATGCTCATCCTTTTTACAGATCTAACTTATTTGAATGCAGTCTGTTGGTCCCTTGTCTTTCAGGTAAACACACTCCAGCTTCTAATTAGTCACCTTTTAGAAAACATGCACACACTGGGAAACGTAGATTTGTTAATACTTGACTTTATGTATTGATTGTATTTTAACATATATTGATGATGTTACAGCGTAGAGTACGTACTGAAGCAGACAGCTTTGGTGATATCGATGTACCTGAAGATAAATACTATGGGGCTAACACTGCACGATCCCTTATTAACTTCGACATTGGAGGACCGTCTGAACGGATGCCCGTAAGTAAAAAAATATTTTAAAATATATATATATATATATATATGTGTGTGTGTGCGTGCGTGCCTGAATGCGTGCATGGGACAGGTAATTTGTACTTTGTGATTAACCATTCGGTAGAAAGGCTGCAGACGTCTTGTTTTCTAGTCTGTATGTTAGAGTGTAGGGGCTAGGCGAGGAGAAATTGCAAAATGACATTAATCTTCTTCTTCTTCGCGTTCACCAGCTGTACACTCTGGTGAAAAGTTCTGGTTGCTCGTCCACTACTGAACTGCAGTCCTGCTCCAGAACCTGAGTTGCATGTGCATCAGTTTTACAGATCTCATTCTCTTGAATACAGACTGTTGGTTCCTTGCCTCTCCGGCAGATGCACTCCGACTTCAAAGGAAGCTCCCCAATTAGTCGACTCTTACGACATGCTTATGGGGAGGCAGTGGGTCTATTCTTGTTTTCCCCACAATGGGGCCCCGGAACCCACACAGGGGATGACATTTGTGTCCTTCTTAATTCATTTCTTTCTCTTAATTACAGTGTTAAAGATGGCTGGAGGAACGTAAGATGGCCCTGAGTTCGCAGTTGTCACTCCTTAAAAATGTAGTTTATTTGTTCATTCTTTGTCTCTTTCACTTTATTCACATGTTAGTCTTCCTTTTTCTTCTTCGCGTTTACCAGCTGTAAATTCTGACGGAAAGTTCTGGTTGTTCGTCCACCAGAACCTGAGTGTTGCATGTGCATCCCTTTGACAGATCTGACTCATTTGTATGCAGACTGCTGGTTCTTTGCCTCTCAGGCAGATGCACTCTGACTTCGAAGGAAGCTCCCAGCTAGTCAACTCTTACGACATGCTTTTGGGTAGACAGTGGGTCTATTCTTGTTTTCCCTATAATAGGGCCGCCCCAGTACCCACACAGGGAGATACATGTTAGCTAGCTGGTTAGTTAATCAACAGCTTATCATCATCAAATCATTTAGTTCATCAGTGCTCGGATCCCTCAATAAATCCCGCAGCATGTTGTGGCTGATGACACCAGTTCTGTATTGCTTTCTTATTCTTTGGTTTCCTTATAGTGTTTATGTCTGGCCACACCCTTTTTAACTTGCTGTTCTTGCAGTCTAGTCATGGTTTCAGACATACAAACACTTGATTCTCAAAAACCTCTGACTTCTCGTAGAGCATTCAGAATATCAGCCTGGTCCATGGCTTGTCCACCCTTCCCAGTAGCCTTACCTGCAAGCCTATCAGTTTGCTCGTTTCATTGCACGGCTACGTGCCGTGACATCTTTATCAGCCCTGACCGCTGTCTTTGGACTCAGCTTATCTCTATCTTTCTTTAAACGCAAGTTTTAAGCATACAGATAATCATTACATTTACAGTTTATTTCGAAAAGGTACATGATTGTTTTCTTTATTTATCCAAGTTGAATGCATGAATCAAGAATTGACATTCCCCTTTTGGCTTCCGGAGCCCCATTGTAGGAAAAACAAGAATAGACACCCTGCCTTCCCAATAAACATGTCATAGGAGTTGAATTGGGGACTTCTTTAAAAATTGGAGAGAATCTGCCTGAGTGCCAAGAAACAATCAGCACACAAGCCAGTGAAACAGCTGTACACGCACAACTCAAGCCCTGGCACAAAGCCAAAGTCCCAATAGATGAACAACCAGGACTTTCCACCAGGGTTTACAGCCGATCAAGAAAGAATAAGAAGAAAGAGCTGACATCATTGCACTTGGGACATTCCCACACATGCTCAGTTGCCTTCTTCAGCAGCCAATGTTCTCCTTCCCATCACATGACTAGAGAATAGATTGTTTCTCTTTGTTAGTCGGCTTCTTTCAAGACATCTTCTTTACTCTTTTTATTTGTCCAGGGTGTTTTCCTAATTTGTCTATAAAACCACATCTTCTCTGCCTTCACCACATAAATTTTTTTTTGGGGGGGGGGGGGGGGGGGGGGGGGTTAATTGGTCAATTTTCCATGATTCACTTCTGTATATTAAATGATTAATATATTCATAATATTTTGTCAGACTGCTATCATACGAGCCTTTGGCATACTGAAACGATGTGCAGCTGTGGTGAACACTGAGTTTGGCCTTCAGCAGCACATTGCGGATTTAATTATTAAAGCATCCGATGAGGTGAGTGGACTATTTTTTTCTTTAGACTTCTATCTCTCGCTGAAGAAAATCCCTTAACTAACACATGCAGCCATTCTTTCTATTGCCATTTTCTGCAGTTTGTAACATGTCTTTCCCATATTATTCATCCCTGTTTTCATGTTTAGTCATAGACAGTTGGGCTATAACAGAAACATGTTTTGGAAGTGGCAGAGATGTGGTTTTAAAGATGAACGATGAGAATACACAGATACAAATGTTATTGTAGATGTCTTGAAAGAATCTGACCTACAAAGTAAACTGATTTCCCACATTAGAAGGAGATTACATTTTTTGGTCAGGTCTTGATAAGGAGAAAACTGGAGTACATCGGGACAGTGGGAAAACTGGAGTACATCATGACAGTGGTAAAACTGGAGTACATCGGGACAGTGGGAAAACTGGAGTACATCGGGACAGTGGGAAAACTGGAGTACATCGGGACAGTGGGAGAACTGGAGTATATCGGGACAGTGGGAAAACTGGAGTACATCGGGACAGTGGGAAAACTGGAGTACATCATGACAGTGGGAAAACTGGAGTACATCGGGACAGTGGAAAAACTGGAGTACATCAGGACAGTGGGAAAACTGGAGTACATCGGGACAGTGGGAAAACTGGAGTACATCGGGACAGTGGGAAAACTGGAGTACATCGGGACAGTGGGAAAACTGGAGTACATCGTGACAGTGGGAAAACTGGAGTACATCGGGACAGTGGGAAAACTGGAGTACATCGGGACAGTGGGAAAACTGGAGTACATCATGACAGTGGGAAAACTGGAGTACATCGGGACAGTTGGAAAACTGGAGTACATCATGACAGTGGGAAAGATGGAGAGGGGAAAAAAGGCAAAGATAGATAGATAGATAGATAGATAGATAGATAGATAGATAGATAGATAGATAGATAGATAGATAGATAGATAGATAGATAGATGGATGGATGGATGGATGGATGGATGGATGGATGGATGGATGGATGGATAGATAGATAGATAGATAGATAAGGAATAGAAGACACAAAGATGCAGTGACAGAGAGGAGGGAATCAGAGGGAGACTGAGAGAAAAGATGCTGGACAGTTTGACATGGCATAAAAGATCATCTGTGTCAGAATTGATTAAAAGTATTCCCTTGTGGGTTTCTGGGCCCCATTGTGGGGGATAACACAGACCCACTGCCTCCCCGACAAGCATGCGTAAGAGTTGACTAATTGGGGGCTTCCTTTGAAGTCGAAGTGCATCTGCCTGAGAGGCAGGGAACCAAACATTTGCATAGAAATAAGTCAGATGTGTAAAACAGGTGTGCACTCAACACTCAGGTTCTGGGACAAGACTAAAGTCAAGAGGTGAATGAACAGCTAGAACTTTTAGCTGGAGTTTACAGCCAGTGAACACGAAGAAGGAGAAGAATATTGAAAGCACACAAGATAGAAGATTGTGGATAGCCATGACTACAACACCACACAGCATGGACTGTAAGAAGACTTTTATTTGGTCTTTTTCTTTTACCCTGTACATTCCAGCACAAAGACATACCAATGAAAAGATTACCATATTTGCTCTGTGTGTCCAACCCAGTGCAGCACTATTTCTCAATGTGTTGGTTCAGTAGAATTGTACAGCGAGAAGGTCAGCTGTGACTTTAGTGCATGGCAGTGGTGGAGGTTGATTTTGCTAAAATATTCTTCATCAGCTTTGGATTCAAACTCCGGCGGAAAGTTCTGGGTGTTCTTCCGCCTCCCGATTTGAGTCTTGTTCCAGAATCTAAGTGTTGCATGCACATCCGTTTTACAGATCTGACTTGTTTGCAGACTCTTGGTTCATTGTCTCTCAGGCAGATGTACTCGGCTTCAAAGGATGCCCCCAGTTAGTCAACTTCTGCGACAGGCTTATTTGAGAGGCAGTGGGTTTATTCTTGTTTTCCCCACTGTGGGGCCCCGGAACCGACTACTTTTCTTTTGAATGCTACACCATTGTTCTTTTTTTCTTCAAATTTAAACAGAATTAGAACTTGCTTTATTTTAATAATGCCAGTGTAGGATTTCATCACAACTTTGTTGCTGTTGTATCTTTCATGTAGGTCATTTCAGGCAAGCTTGATGACCATTTCCCATTGGTCATTTGGCAGACAGGATCCGGCACTCAGACTAACATGAATGTAAATGAGGTGATCAGTAACCGAGCTATTGAGATCCATGGAGGTGTGCTTGGCTCAAAGGACCCTGTTCATCCTAACGATCACGTAAACATGGGACAGGTAATTTGTACTTTGTGATTAACCTATCAGCCAGCCACTCCTCATTGACTGAGGTAGTTGCTGGCATATTGCTTGTGTGTTACTGGGGGTCCATCCCCTGTGTGTGTTACTGGGGTCTCTCCCCTGTGTGTGTTACTGGGGGTCCATCCCCTGTGTGTGTTACTGGGGGTCCATCCCCTATGTATGTTACTAGGGTCCATCCCCTGTGTGTTACTGGGGTCCATCCCCTGTGTGTTACTGGTATCCATCCCTTATGTATGTTACTAGGGTCCATCCCCTGTGTGTTACTAGGGTCCATCCCCTGTGTGTTACTGGGGTCCATCCCCTGTGTGTGTTACTGGGGTCTCTCCCCTGTGTGTGTTACTGGGGTCTGTCCCCTGTGTGTGTTACTGGTATCCATCCCTTGTGTGTTACTGGGGTCTGTCCCCTGTGTGTGTTACTGGTATCCACCCCCTATGTATGTTACTAGGGTCCATCCCCTGTGTGTTACTGGGGTCCATCCCCTGTGTGTTACTGGGGATAATTTCCTGTGTGTTACTGGGGACCCTCCCCTGTGTGTGTGTTACTGGGGTCCGTCCCCTATATGTGTTACTGGGGATCATCCCCTATGTAAGTTACTAGGGATCATCCCTTGTGTTCATTACTGGGGATCATCCCCTGTGTGTTACTGGGGTCCATCCCTTATGTATGTTACTGGGGATCATTCTCTTTGTGTTACAAGGGGCCGTCCCCTGTGTGTGTTACTAGTGATCCCTCCCCTGTGTGCATTACTGGTGATCCCTTCCCTGTGTGGGTTACTGGGATCCCTCCCCTGTGTGGGTCTGGGTGTCGGTATAAATGAGACTTGTAAAGGAGACTTACGGTGAGTTTTGCTAAAAATCAGATGTGATGGGCAAAAGATGTAGATATTGCAGCCTAGCTGTAAACCACTACAAAATGTGCCAACCACTGTTTAAGGGCGGATGCAGAATAAGAAAAAAGGGCTTCCTTAATGGAAACATTGAATAGTAAACTGGAACAAAACAGCCATAGAGAGGAGATATCTAAGAGCAAAACCAGTCTCAGAATGATAAAAGTATCAACGGTTGTATATGTTTATATAATTAACAGACAGACAGTATATATAATAAACAGACAGACAGGACAACATAAAAAGCATAAGCTGTAGTTACTTTGCCGAGAATCGAATCTGTCACCTCCAGAGGCGTGTGCTGCTCCTATGGAAAAAAAGGTAATAAGAACATGACCAGCTATGCACCCCAAAAAATGGTGTCATCATTGGCCATATCTGTCGTACAGCTTGAAATCCACAGCTATGGAAAAGGAACAGAGTTCATCTCGGACCATTGAAATGGCACCATAGGTTGCAGAGATTTATATTAACCAATGACAGGTTTATGTGGACTGTTTGACAGAGACTGCCAAGCGCATGCTAGACTTTACACTCGTAGCAGACGCTGTTCCCAAAAACACCAGCACAACAGTATGGTCCCCATGGACTGATAGTTGCCTACTATAGTGTGTTCTGAAATAAAAAAATTGTTATTATATGTTCCAGAGCTCAAACGATACATTTCCTACCGCTACGCATGTGCTGTACTTTACAGTAGTCGCAACACTGTCTCCAAAACCAACAGCACAACTATACAGTTGCCTACTATAGTGTGTGCTGAAATAAAAATTGTTATTATATGTTCCAGAGCTCAAACGATACATTTCCTACCGCTACTCACATGTTAGACTTTACAGTAGTAGCAACGCTGTCCTCCCAAAACACCAGCACAACAGTGTGGTCCCTACGGACTGAAGGTTGCCTACTATAGTGTGTGCTGAAATAGAAAATTTTATTATATGTTCCAGAGCTCAAACGATACATTTCCTACGGCCATGCATATTTCTGTGGGTCAGGAAATTCATTCCAGACTTTTCCCTGCAATTCAGAATCTTGCAAATATCCTTGAGGTTAAAACCAAGGAATTCAGTGGCATCGTCAAAATTGGGAGAACTCATTTGCAGGTTAGTGTATTTATTTGTCCTTGTATGTAGATGCTACAGCTGGATCCTTTATTATGAACTTTTGTCCCTATGTGGTGGGGAGGGGGGGGGGGGGCATTTTAGGGGTTAGAAAAAATGTTAGATCTTCTTCCATTTTTATCAGCATATAAAAGGTGACAAGTTAAGCTGATGCTAAAATTGGATGTGTTGTTTCTTTGTAGTTCCAGGGCCTCATTATTGGGTTGGGGGGGGGGGGCCTCACTCAGGTTGTTTATAATATCTCCTGTCTAGCCTTGAAGGTAGCATAGACATGCTTTGCTATGCTTTACTCCCATGTCATGCGGTCGTGTTAGGGATTTAAAATATTTGGCCAGATTTCTTTTGCATACCCAGACCAAGCAGGAAATAAATACTAGCACACATGGTGCGTTGCTTCGGGCAGAAGGAATTGAGATTGAGCCGAAAGGCACAGATATTGCAGCTTATCTGTGAACCACAACAGAACATGTCAGCCACCCTTTTTCAGGGCAGATGCAGAGAAAAACAACAAACTTCTAAGAATGTTCTTAGACAAATCTTTGGACCCCTCAGAGATACAAACAGTGGAGAATGAAGATAGAAGATACAATCAGTGAGTCAGCTTGTCCTTTACCGAACATTGCTCTCTTCACGGTACGCCTGAAAGTCTCTCTTTGTCTAGCCAGTTCTCCAGCCCTGTGTACTTTCATAGACCATGCATCTTCAGTGTCCTGTATCCATCTTTGCAGAGGTCTGCCTCTGTATCATTCTCTAGAGACTGCGACCCTCCATTACTGTTCTCTCCAAACCACAGAGAAGACACAGTCACATTCATAATCTATTTAAATCACCACTAATTACTGGCATCATGAGGGTGAAAAGGCCGTAGTGGTTTTGGCAAATAGAGACAAAGGTAGATAACGTAGAGACAGACACTGCCTACACAGAAGTGTTAAGTGGGCATAGATTATGAGGCAGACCAAGAAGAAAGAGGAGAGGTCATTCACAGGCAGACCTACAAACACTTAGCCCAACTGGAAAGAGAAGGCCTGTGAAAGTGCATAGGGCTGAAGAATTGGCTAGAGACAGATTTCATGCATGACTTCTGTAAAGGACCTGTTGAATGATGGTGATGGTTGTAGAATAATCTGTGTCCTGATCTGAACTGTTATCAAATTTTATCCTGTGTTTTAATTTTTTTTTAGGATGCAGTTCCACTAACTCTTGGCCAGGAGTTCAGTGGGTACCTACAGCAGGTTAAGTATGGCAAGGAGAGGATAGCTGCCACATTTCCCAGGCTGTATGAGTTGGCTTTAGGTAATGTATAGAAGTCTTTTCTTTTCTTCTTCATGTTCACTAGCTGTTAACTCCAATGGAGATTTCTGGTTGTTCGTCCACTTCTGGACTTTAGTCTTTTTCTAGAAATTGACTTTTGAATACTAATCTGTTTTACAGATCTGGCTTATTTTGTATGCAGGCTGTTGGTTCCTCGCCTCTTAGGCAGATGCACTGTGACTTTGAAGGAATGTATAGAAGTCATACAGGCCTTGTGGTTTATGTCCTTTACCTAAAATGTATTCTAAGACTTCTGTTAACTAACCTGGGGAAGTCATCCTCCGTCGCTTAGGCATTGCAAACACACTTTGTAATCCCAAGGTGCCGGGTTTGATCTCAGCTGCAGGCATTTTGGCAGTAGGACTGCTTTGCATGTATTAGACAGTGGATTAGACAATCGAGAGGCTACCATTCAGGAAGGAATGGCAAACTGCTGAATGTAAAATTGCCTATGAAATCACAAACAGCCAAAAATGCTGGGGTTGGTCCTGAAATGGTACTTTAATTTTAATTCACTCTAAACAAAGGAAGTCCTGGAGTTTCCAGGAAAGTCCAATAGTTGGTTCTGAAACAGTCTTGCCCCATATATAGCCATGTCTGCAATGGCCTGTTGAAAAAATTCAATTGGTTCTGTGTGTGCCTGCGCAGTGTTTAGTTCTTTCAGTACCACAAGGTTTCACAGGAGATTCCAAAGTGAAGAAATAACCATGATGAAAAAGCATTAACACATTAATTTCCAAGTGGCAGTACACACATAATTAATTACATTGGAAAAGCCAGATTTCTTCAGTTTGTTCTGACTAAATGTGAAACTTAAGAGATCACATTATGCTGTGGAGGGAAAATCAAAGGATAGTGTCACTCACAGGCTGTGTGTTGCTTGGAACTGAAAATGTTAATAGGTAAGGATATGAATAAAAAATATAGCAGCTAAAAGCAGCATTTAGGTCTTTTTCATTCTGATCCCAGTGGGGTCACTTGAAAGCAAAGTTGATGTCAAATTTTCCCATAAGCCTCTTTGATAGAGGTCATGGGGTCGCAGAAAAGTACCTCAGTACAATTTTTTTTAGTTAAATGGATATATATTCCATTTATTGCTTCAACTCTATTTATGTTTATTGATAAACCCTTTATGTATATTTATATATTTTACGAGAAAAGAAAACAAAGTAGTGTGGTTAAATACATTTTGTTTTGGGTTAAATTTATTTCTGACCTGTGATATCCCCCCCCCCCCCCCCCCCCCTCCTGGAAATTCCCACTGGTTCATGGCCTTTTGTGTGTGTGAGCATTGGTGGGGCAGAAGGATTAACCCTTCTTAATCACTTATTACAATGTGGATGACAAGTTAAAGCACTGTTACTCTTGTCTTCCTTCTGGGTCGTGATAACAACAACCAGGTTCCCCCATGCTTATTCCAGGACCCCATTTGGGGTTGTGAGGGGAGAACCCAGTGCTCCTTAACAAGTGTGTCCTACAAGGCAACTAATTAAAGGTTTAGTGAAATGGACATCCATTACTGGTGCCTGCACAGAATAGAAGGAGTTAAATGGAATGATAGAATCACAAATGTTGAGCTTTGGGAGAGAAGTGAACAAATTCCAGTGGACCAAGAGGTGAAGAAAAGGCGCTGGCGTTGGATAGGGCACACGTTGAGAAAACCTGAGAATGGTGTAACTAGAAGGTCTTTTCTCTGGAACCCACAGGGGCATAGATATAAAGGCAGACCAAAAAACATTTAGGCAAGGCAGCTGGAGAGTAGAGTAAAAAAGATGGGCAGGGTATGGTGTGAGCTGCATGCAAAAGCGAAGGGTAGAACAACTTAGTGTGAGTTGGTTGAGGACCTATGCTCCATTGGGGAGTAGATGGTAGAAGAAGAAGAAATGAGATATGTTTTGCCGAGAGGCTCAAATACCACAGCCTAGCTGTACATGAACTACACAACATGCCAAACATCCTTTTAAAAAGCAAATGAAGAAGAAAAAACTAGATAAATTAACTCTTTTATTCCTGCTAATGGTTCCTTTACTCCACTCTTTTCTGATCATTTTAGCTTCCATACTCCAGCCAATTGTTCCTTTACTCCACTCTTTTCTGATCACTTTAGCCTCCATACTACAGCCAATTGTTCCTTTACTCTGCTCTCTTCTGATCACTTTAGCCTCCATACTACAGCCAATTGTTCCTTTACTCCGCTCTCTTCTGATCACTTTAGCCTCCATACTACAGCCAATTGTTCCTTTACTCCACTCTCTTCTGATCACTTTAGCCTCCATACTACAGCCAATTGTTCCTTTACTCCACTCTCTTCTGATCACTTTAGCCTCCATACTACAGCCAATTGTTCCTTTACTCCGCTCTCTTCTGATCACTTTAGCCTCCATACTACAGCCAATTGTTCCTTTACTCCACTCTCTTCTGATCACTTTAGCCTCCATACTACAGCCAATTGTTCCTTTACTCCACTCTCTTCTGATCACTTTAGCCTCCATACTACAGCCAATTGTTCCTTTACTCCTCTCTCTTCTGATCACTTTAGCCTCCATACTACAGCCAATTGTTCCTTTACTCCACTCTCTTCTGATCACTTTAGCCTCCATACTACAGCCAATTGTTCCTTTAAACCCAATTATTTAAATTTACGTTGTTCTTAACTGTTACTTTGTTCACACTGACTCTGATATTTATTACTTTGAAGTAAATGAATATGTGCGTAATATGTACACTGTCATCTTTCTACAGGTGGCACTGCAGTGGGTACAGGCCTGAATGCTAGAGTTGGCTTTGCAGAACAAACTGCAGCAAAAATAGCACAGTATACAGGTAATGATTACATGATACTAGTTTCCATCTGGCCCTGGTCTAGGGCAGGGCTATTCAAATTGTGACCTGCGGGCCAAATCTGGCCCGCGAAGGCCTAGCACATGGCCCGCGGATCATTGCTAGTTACATTGTATTAATGATCTTTCTTTGCTGGGGCTCGGGTCTATGGCCTGTGATGATCCCAATTTTCTTATTTTGGCCCCTGAGTAAACATGGTTGAATAGCCCTTGTCTAGGGTTTTCACACTCTGCCTAGCACCATGATTCTAAATGCTTCTACACATAAACCAGACTGTCACAAGAAAACAGATATAACTTTCTGGCATACCGCAGAATGACACTGATGTTTGTTTATAAATACTGTCAGTTTAGTGTAATTATTATGACATCTCAAAGCTCAGACTTTTAACTACATGAATGCTTTCCTAGCCGACACAGACAAACTCTTACACACATCATCTAGGCTATATTTAACATATATTCAATACTATACCTGTCCTCTTCAACATCTGGTTGAATCTTGTGGGTTCCGGGGCCCCGTAGTGGGGAAAACAAGAAGAGATCCACTGCCTTTCCTGCAAACATGTCATAGGAATGGATTAATTTGGGGACTTCCTTTGAAGTTGAAGTGCATCTGCCCAAGTGGCAAGAAACAACTATCTGCACACAAATAAGCCAGTAAAACTGATGTGCACGCAAAACTCAGACCCTGGCGCAAAGCTAAAGTCCAAATGGATGAACAACCAGGACTTTCCGCTGGAGCTTACAGCCGGTGAACGAGAAGAAGACATCTGGCTCACAGCTGACCCCGAGCTTCTCTCTTTCCTCATGGATGAACAACCAGGACTTTCCGCTGGAGCTTACAGCCGGTGAACGAGAAGAAGACATCTGGCTCACAGCTGACCCCGAGCTTCTCTCTTTCCTCATGGATGAACAACCAGGACTTTCCGCTGGAGCTTACAGCCGGTGAACGAGAAGAAGACATCTGGCTCACAGCTGACCCCGAGCTTCTCTCTTTCCTCATTAGTCTCTTCAGCCTTGGGTATTCCTTGCCACACATATCTTGCATGGTCTTTCTGCTTGGCTTTTTATGACTGGAAGCTCCATTTAAAACAGTGCTTGTTGTTTTGTTCTGCGTTCTTTCTTCAAAGGGTAGTTAGATTATTATGTTCAGATTTGCAATTAAGCTGCCATATCTGCGTCCTTTAGCCCAGCACAGCAGACCCTTAATGAGTCATCTTTTATAATGCCCTTGTTAAGGAGCAGTGGTTGGTTCTTGGTTCTCGTTATGGGGGCCTGGAACTCACTTGGGGCTCTTCTTCTTTAGTTCATTCTGAATCAATTTGTGTTTTTGTATATATGTGTGTGGGGGGGGGGGGGGGTGGGTTTAACCATACTGTTTTCTATAAAAGTGACCTTTTTAGGGTATGACATCCTCCATAAATGGGGTTTATGGCCCTATTTGGTTAGTGTATGTGTGAAAGAGAGGGGGCGACTCTCTGCCCCTAACAAACGTTGTAATTGGAGATTTACTGAAATAAAGTGTATTGGGCCGAAAGATACAAATATTACCGCAACACACTTATTTGTAAACCACAACACACTTATTTGTCACCCTTTTCAGGGCGAAGCAGAAGTATCCTGTCATTTTGTGGTCTGTATTTGGTTGAGTCAGCTTAAAATAAATACTCGGATGTGTTCTTGGAAATAGAAGTGGTCAGCATAATATTCCTTTTTCGGCTATCCTCCGAATAACGGTCCTAAATTATCAAGGTGGAAAATATACTCTAACAGGGCCTCAGTCACGTGTCACGTGCGCACTTCCGTCGTCTTAAATTGTGCACTTACGGAGACTTCCGTCTCCATCAAGAGTATCCCCCATGCCGCTCGCTCGATGGCTGGGACTCACAAGCAGCAGCTACCGCATCTCCTGCAGCTTCCTTCATTTTATTTGCTCGTGAGTACTAGCCATCTAGTTTAGCCCCAATCCATGCAGCGTGGGGGATACTCTCGGTGGTGGCGTTATAGTCCCCGGAAGTGCGCAATTGACACGTGACTGAGGCCCTGTTAGGGTGTGTTTTCCGCCCCAATAATTTAGGATTGTTATTCGGAGGATAGCCCCTTTTTTCTTAGTGTTCTTATTCTTAATGTTGTTCTTATTAGTGTTCATAGTACTTCTGTTCCTAATATTCTTCTTCTTAATGTTCTTCTTAAGGTTCTTGGGCTGTAAATTCCAGCAGAAAGTTCTGGATGTTCATCCACTTCTGGAATTCAGTCTTGTTTCAAAACTTGAATACGTTTTTTAGATCTGGCTTAATTGTATGCAAACCGTTGGTTTCTCGCTGCTCAGGCAGATGCACTCTGACTTAGGAGGAAATACCCATAATTAGTTGCCTTTTACGACATGCTTGTTAGGGAAGCTGTTTATTTCCTCCCCCCATAATGAGGACCCAGAACCCGCACGGGGAGTCAGCATAATATTGTGTGCAGTGCCAGTTGAGTGCAGATTAATGTTTTAACATTATTGGGTGTGCACCCTATACCTTAGGGGCCGCCATGGTGTAGTGGCTAGGCACTCGCTTGCAGGTCCGAAGGTCGTTTGGTTCTGGTCCTGACAAGACTGGACCTTTTTTCTTCTTCAGAAATGACCTTGGCTTCCATGTCGGCCCAGCCTTAAATGGGTGTATGTCATTCCTATAAATAAACAGAGGGGGAACCTTTGAGGCCGTTAAATATTATGCATTTAATCAAGTAACAGAAACATAAAAATCGAAAGCTATAGCTACCGTGCCGGGAATTGAACCTGTCACCTCCAGATGGCGTCTGTGCCTCGCCATGAATACAAGTGCACCAAGAACATGGTCAGCTAAGCACCCCCATATGTTGTCTAGTGTGTTCTTCTATCTATCTACTTCTTGCTATGAGTGCCAATCAGTACACTTTCTGTTACTTGATTAATTCTTAAATGGGTACCAGGTAAAGTCCTGGTACCTAAAGGTGGCTGGTGTGATGTTGATCTAGCCCTATATGCCTAGTAAGCCTGAAGGCATGGGAAAGGGTCTTTTACTGGTTTATACTTTCCCCAAACTTGATGGATTTAGAAGCAACTAAAGTGGTACGTCTTCAGAGAGTTAAAACATGGAAAATAATTTATTTATTTTTAAACGTATTTTAAATTCGTTATAAGAGATTTGCTTTTAATAGTGCTTAATAAATCAAAGTTGAAACCTTTACATACCTTGGCTCCTACATATGTATCGATGGCAGCTGTACCAAAGATATCAAGACAAGACTTGATATGGCGAAAGCCGCCATGTCCAAGCTGAATACGATGTTGAAGAGCAAAATCAGCAAATGTCAATATATAAAAATCACCTGTATTATCTTTTGTTTTATACGGATGTGATGGACTCTCACTGTGGAGATGGAAAGGAGGATTCAGGCTTTGGAATATAAGTGCTGTAGACACATTTTATGAATTAGTTCTTTAGAATACAAAACTAAGAAATGTGTCAGAGACAAAATATACAAATTTGCGGGACATTAGGAGCATCTATTGGCAGTAGTGAAACGTCACAAGCTGGTTTGGTTTTGGCACGTGGTGAGACATGATTAGATTGCAAAAACTGTGCTTCAGTTAACATTGGGGTGTAGTCGAAGAAGTGGTTGGAAAAGAAGATCATGTGATGACAGCATCAAGAAATGGACAGGACTAACTTATCATACATTTGTTCAAAAAGCGGAAGACAGAGAAAGTTGGTGGGTGTTGTGTTTTAATGCCTCCATCGATACACCTCCACAACCCTAACTGGTCAAGGGTTATTTAATGTTAATAAATCAACTTGGAGATTAGAGAACGAGTTTCACAGTCCCCAGTGGAGCAGGATTCCATTTCCATGGCATACAGTTTAGAATAAGGCACCCCTTTTGCCTGTGGGCAGGTGTATGAGAATCATACCGTGGAAGTGATTGGGACCCTGTCATGTAGTATCCTCAAAGACAGTGTAAATGCATGAACATATCTACTTGATACAACCTCTGTGGTGAAGATGGCACACTTTAAAAAAAAGTAAGTAAACAAAATAATGGTTGTTTCATGCGTCAGGGTTCTGGAAGCTCCATGAGGGGGAGGGGGTGGGGCACTGCACCTCTAACAGCTATATGCGTATCCTCAGAATTACAAAGGGCTTTTGCAGTGCCTAACCCACATATGCCGACACCTATGTAACAAGCATTTCTTATAAGGTGATCAATTAGGGATCTGCTGAAATCAGATGTGTTGGAAAAATCAGAAACAGGCTGAAAAACAAACACTGGATATAAAAATGATTCCCTTCATCTTCTTCTTTCTGTTGTCATCTCACTGATAACCAGGTTGTAGCCCAGTGTCATGGTTTTCTGTTATTTCTTGTGCTTTTTTGCTGGCTTGGGTGATGGATGTACACATCTTTTTGCAGGTTTCATCTGCATCCTTTATTTATCTCTTTCGTGTTCTTCCTCTCTCCTTCCTCCCAGATCTTATGCTGTAAAAAGTGTTATATGCAGTTTGGCTTGGCTGTATTCTAACTAGATGGCTAAACCATTTCATTTTTTGTCTGTCAGTATAATGCAGACATGGTGTTATTCCAATTTTCTTCTGCATAATGCTGGTATTCATAACCCTGTCCCCTTCTTGGATTGTTTAGTGACCTTGCGGAGACAATGAATTTCATATATTCATTGTCCATGTTTAGCACTGACAGCATAAAGTAATGACCAAGTTACCATCTTTCGCTTATGCACAGGACACTGCAGGTTCAGTAAACACTCATGTAAATTAGGTATTAGCCAAACAGCTCTCTGCGAGTGTCTTCATGCTGAATAGACTCCAGAACACATCATGCAAAAATGTCCTATTTTGGTGGAGCTGTAAAGCAACATGTGGCCAGTCCCAGCCGTGCCCTTTAAATGCCAATGCTGAAGAAGAAGAAAAAGACTAGTTAATTCATTCTGAAAGCTAGTATGAAATAATAATTGAGTTCTTTCCTCATCATCATTATGTTTCAGGTCTTCCTTTCGTCTCAGCCAGAAATAAATTTGAAGCTTTAGCATCCCATGATGCTTTGGTAGAAGTGCACGGCGCCTTGAACGTTTTAGCATGCAGCCTAATGAAGATTGCAAATGATATCCGCCTTTTAGGCTCAGGTCCGCGCTGTGGATTTGGCGAGCTGATTTTGCCAGAAAATGAACCAGGAAGCAGTATTATGCCAGGTTTGTTGTGTTTATGCTGGGTTTAGACAAAAATCCCAGGGTGGGTTTTGGGGTCCATTTTGGGGAACAATGAATCGACCCACTGCCTTCCACCCCCTTCCCCCACCAACAAGCATGTCATAGAGAGTGACTAATTAGGGGTGCTTCCTTCAAAATCAGAGTGCATATGCCTGAGAGAAGCCAGAAACCAACAGTCTGCATACAAATAAGCTACATCTGTAAAATGGATATGCACACAAAACTCAAGCTGTTAAACAAGACCCAAGTTCATGAGTGGACAAACAACCAGAACTTTTCACCAGTTTACAGTCGGTAAACGAGAAGAAGCTGTTTTTTTCCTACACATGTCAGTGAAGTTATTGTTGTTATGCCATTTTTCCTATCTTTTCAAACCACAGAGTTATATTGTGCTGTAGGGAGGTATGAGAATTACAGCTAATATTGATGGTGAGCATAACTAATAAAATCCGTTGGCATTAACAAAAGGTGTATCACAAAGCATGAGCAGTATTGTAGAGACCATGTATTGCCCATGCAGCATGACCCCTCCCTTGGCCTGCCTTGTTTGCTCCAAAGGAAAGACAATACCAATATGTTTGTAAAAAAAAAGATGCAGCAAAAGCTGCCAGATCAAATGAGCAGCTTCCCATTTGGATTCCAGTGTCCAGTTGTGTGTGAGGTGGGGGGGGGGGGGGAATAGACCCACTGTCTTTCTAACAAGCATGTAATAAAAGCCTACTAATTAAGAATGTTTCCTTTGAAGTCGGAGCGGATGCCTCTGCCCAAGAGGCAAGGAACCAACAGTCTACTTACAACAACGATAAAAACACATGTAAAACAGCTATGCATATAAAGTTCAAGTTCTGGAACAAGACTGAAGTCCAGAAATGGACAAAAAACCAGAACTTTCCACAAGAGTTTACATCCAGTAAATATGAAAAATAATAGAAGAGCAGTGCTCTGTCTATCTGCCTGCCTGTTGGAACTTTCCTCCGAGACCAATGTCAACCAGGGCTTAGGGCCTGGTCTGTTCTGCTGTAACGTTAAGTTTTTAGTTGACTTTCCATTTGCTACATTAAAATTGGTATCCTCTTCATGCACTCCTATGTAGTTATGTCAGTTTTTACAGCAAGCACATTTATTATCTTATATATGTTTTTTTTTTTTTTTTTTACTTTTTATGTAGGAAAAGTGAACCCAACACAGTGTGAGGCACTGACCATGGTTGCAGCACAAGTTATCGGAAACCAGACTGCCGTCAGCTTCGGTGGGAGCCTCGGCCATCTTGAGCTGAACGTCTTCAAGCCTCTAATCATCAGCAACGTTCTTCGATCCATCCGCCTCCTGTCGGACGCTTGTGAATCTTTCACACGAAACTGTGTCCAAGGGATTGCGGCTAATGTGGATCGGATCAAACAGCTGAGGGACCAGTCTCTAATGCTAGTGACTGCTCTGAACCCCCATATAGGTTACGATAAAGCGGCTGTTATAGCCAAACTGGCACACAAGGAAGGAATTACGCTGAAGGAGGCGGCATTGAAACTCGATTTTCTAACAGAGGAGGAGTTTAACAAATGGGTGAAACCTGAGGCCATGTTGGGACCTACATAAAAGAAAGGGTTGAAATATTTTTAATAACTTAGCTAATACAAACAGATTTTACAAATTGTTGAAGGGAGAAGTCATTGTAATTAATGTCTGCTATATTTAACAGAATTGTTAAATAGACTGTTGAGTTGTGTTAAAAAAAATTGTTGGAGGAAAAGGTAAGATAATTAATATCTGGTGTATTCACCAGCTTGTAAATTGTGTTTATTTTCGAAAATTGTTCGAGGAAAAGTTGGTTGTAATTAATGAATAGTAAATTTACCATAATATTTAATTAGTGTGTTTAGATAGGTTCAAAAAATTGTTGGAGGGAAACGTGTCTGCTATATTTACTAGTTTTTTAAAGTAGTATGTTCATTAATTATTGGAGGGGTAATTATAACTAATGTCTGGTTATTTTTACCAGCATTTTTAAAAAGATTGCTTGGGTGTGTTAAAAATATAAGTTTCTGGAAAATTAAGGAAATAATTTTTTTTTTTTTTGGGTTGCAGAGGCAAAGGAAATTATTTTTAAAACAAAACTGTTAGGAACTTGAGTTTCCTGTGAGAAGGCCTTAACTGGCAACAAATAATAAAATATACTGAAAGGCGAGTGCCAGAGTTTACAAAGAGCAACAAATCTTAGCTAGAAACGGGTAATGCAGTATTAATTGAGCTTTAATTAAATTTACACAATAAAACATTCCTTATATGTCATTAACAGAAATATTTAATAAAAAATATTTGTTAAGGTAATTATAAAATAACAGTAAAACCTTCTTTAACATGAATTCATTTAATAAGAACACACGGTTAACATGATCAAAATGTTGGTCCCAGCAGGGATGTTTTATTCTTATAATTTGTCCCTGAGTTAGCGCAGATTTGTTTTAACACAACCTTATAATATTTTGGTCCCTTTAAATTCTTGTAAACAGAGTTTTGCTGTACATTACTACTGAAACAGACAATGAATTATGAAATAAGAGATTAATTGAACATATTAGAAACAAAAAATCTTGTTTATCAAGTAAGGTTGCTTCATTAGGAAGTCTGTTTCGTTTTTGTGTTGCACAAACATGATAAATCTAAATGTTCTTGAAAAGCGGCATTTTTAGTTTACTGGCCAAACTTATTTGAGAGACTGTACAATAAGAACTCCACAGGGGAGCATACACAGCAGGGTCCACCAATCATCAGGAGGGTCCTTTGTCTACGATTGTTTCGGCCCATTGACTACCTAGGCCACCACGAAAGGTTTACAGACCTGGTTCGTGACGCTGGGCCTTGGACATCCCCTGCTGCACTTTTTCGGACAGGGACAAGTGGAAATGGTGACTTTACAACCGGTATTGTGAGATTATTAGTTGTGACCAACAACAAAATTAACCACATCATGAACAGCTACTATAAATGCAACATTGCAAATTCTGCTTTTACATCGCAGCTGGAGAGAGGAAGAATGCTGCTTTGCTTGCCATCACATTGACCTGTTGTTGAAGTGTAAAAGTTTTGCCCCTCAGTCTGGTATACTGTACCGTCGCATTAAATTATAGAGAAGCCGACGCGGGTGCTTATTTGGAATGGTACGGTAAAGTGTGTGATTCACGCCAGTGCAGAAAGGTGCCTTCACTTTTCACATAAGCTATTAGAACAGATGCGTTTGGTATGGGGAAAACTAGTTCGTACTGTGTGCACTCCTGTTTATGGGATTTAAACTTATTCTTGGAGAATTAAATCGGTAATTTCCCTTTGACCTTCTTCTGTAAGTCTCTCAATAATCAAGAGATGAGTTTATTGCCAGAGATTCAATTTACTTTTCAACAAACAGGCAGCTGTTAACTGGCAGATGATATTGAAATATTAACCAGAGATTGATTGGTTGTACCGGCAAGCACAAAGCCAGTCTGGCAGATGATATTAAAATCTGAATTTAAGATTCATATAGTTGTAAATATGATGCTGACCACATAACCCGCTAAATGTCACTTAGTCTATCAAATATAGGTGTAGCCCTATATGCTCCAAGGCCCCAAAGGCGGCGGAAAGGGTCCTTTACTTTTTACTTAGAATTGTAAAGCATTGTACTAGGGGGCTTCAAATGAAACCTTAAAAGTGTGTTAGAAATTACAGTAACCAACCATGTTATTGTCTTGTAACCTGTCAGTGTTGTTGTTAAGAATGTCAGTAGTGTTAAGCATGTGAAGTCATGGTGCAGACGAATATGGGGACGTCATATTGACAGTTTAAACCTGGTCGCCCCACTTTTGACATGCACTAAAGAGGAGCAGCGTTCTGTTATCTTTTTTTTTTTTTTTTGGTCAGTGAAACCTCTATAAATTTATCGGCGAATAAAGGTACAATGTGTTGAGGCGTGCCTGCCAGTCCATCAAGTGTATTAGTGGAGTAGGAGGCTTCAGAATGGCAGGACTGCTGTGACAGATACTACTCAGTAAGCCTGATCCTGTCATGAACAGTCTGTCACAGGCATTGCACCGTTTTTTTATTTAAAGCCATCTCGTATTAGGTAAAGCTTTAGGTTCCCTGATTATAACTATTTTACAAGGATCAACAGGTAGGTATCTTGGATTTTTGTCTTGCTGGATTGATATCTGGGTTTCTGTGGTTTCAGACCTTCAGTTGGCAGTTTTGGGCAGAAACGTGGTTAATTGTGCAATATCATATTCACTCTAATTGCTGTGTATTTGGGGTTAAATGCACAAGTGGCCTTTTCTGGTATAATTTGTATTTGCAAGGGAAAGTTCTATATTCTAACCATCAAACAGGCAGCTTATCAGTTAGCAGATGAAAGTTATCTGTTGTTTGAACATCATACAGGCATCTTATCAGTTCATCATCATTATTAAGTGCAATATCCATAAAAATAAATTCTTTCAATAAAGGGAGTAAAAGGTCACCCTAGTATTGCCTGCCTGCTAGGGAAGAGGCAGGGGATGTCCTAACGAAATTTAGGGAAAGGCGAGACGAATATACAATCAGTTACTATTGCCATCGGAATTGGAACACTTTACTTGCTGCTGAAGATAGGGATGGGGAAATGGAGCACTTACGGAAGTGTCCTGAGTAGATAATTCAACATTTAGTTCATCAATTAATCAAGTAACAGAAAGTATTGTGAACGGCACTCATAGAAAGAAGTAGAAAGATAGATGAACACACTAGACAACATAAAAATCGAAAGCTATAGTTACCGTGCCGGGAATTTAACCTGTCACCTCCAGACGGCGTCTGCCCCTCGCCATGAATACAAGTGCACTAAGAAACATAGTCAACTAGGCACCTCCAAAAAAAGGTGTCTCATTGGCCATGTCTATCGTACAGCTTGAAATCCACGACTATGGAATACGGACAGAATTCATTTCAACCCATTGAAAGGCATCATCAGTTAGCACGTTATTTGCAGAACATCACAGCCTTCACAACACACCGAAAGGTCTTTCTTTCTCCAGCCAACTCTCCAGCCTTTACAGCCAATGCATCTTCAATGTCTTGTATCCCCCTGCGCAGAGGTCGGCCTCTACCTCATTTTCCAGAAGCTTCACCCTCCATTACCGTTTTCTCCAGACCATCGTGGTGCTTGACATGCCAAAAATATCCCAACTTTCAGGAGAGGATGCTGTTTATGAGTCAGTTTTCCTCGATGTTCAGATTATCAGCTAGATGAAAATGTTGTGTTGTTTTAACCATCAAATAGGCATCCTGCATGTTAGCAGATGAAAGTTCTGTTGTTGTGAACATCATACAGGAATCTGCTGTATTTACCAATAAAAGTACTGTGTTGTTTTAACTATCATTCAGGCATCCTGTCTGTTGGCAGATGAAAATTCAATGGTTTTTTTAAAGCATCTTAAAGCATTTCTGTATTTGCAAATGAAAGTTCTATGCTGTTTTAATCCTTATTTATGAATCCTGTCTTTATGCCATTGAAAGAAGTTCCATGTCATGTTGTTTTAACCATCATTGCTGTTGTTTGCTGATAACTTGTTCCCTGATGTTCATCTATTCATGTTCATTTGTTGATTTTATGTTAATTGCTGGTGTAAAATCCTGTTAACATTTATTGCCCTTAAACTTAACTTTCCGGGGTAATATTAGTGAATTTCAAGGTAAATGAAGTAGACAAGATCTTATTTATGGGTAATATCTTTAGACTTACCGTAGTTATGTTGGGGCTGTTTGTAGCAGAACTACTGTATTTGTTGGAAATAATAAAGAGTAGGCCTTAAAGCAAATGCTTTGGCAAAGTTAATATTAATATGAAAAGGCCCCTTGCCTAGGATAGAATCTGAGTGGAGAAAATAAACCTTTTAAAAATACATAGTAATATCAGTCACACTGGATTCTGGTAAATCTGCATGGAGGACAAACAACTTTTCACAAATACATAATAATATCAGTCACATTGGATCCACCAGAAATTTAAGATCAGTCAAGTCTTCTTCTTCTTCACATACATCGGCTGTAAACTCCGGTGGAAAGTTCAGGTTGTTCGTCCACTTCTGCTAGTCCTGTCCCAGAACCTGAGTTTTGGGTGTACATCCGTTTCACAGGCCTGACTCATTAGCATGCAGACTTTTGGTTCCTTGTCTCTCAGGCAGATGTATTCCGCCTTCGAAGGAAGCTCCCAATTATTCAACTCTTATGACATACTTTTGGGTAGGCAGTGGGTCTGTTCTTGTTTCCTCCCGCATGGGGCCCCGGAACCCACACGGGGAAATGGTCAGGTGATTACCATGGTAACTTTAAGCTGATCATGTGATCGTTTTATCTACGTAGTTGATTTTATAGAAAATTGTCTTGACTGCTTTTAGTCTGTTTAATGTGGTAAATAATCCTGAAGGCACAAGCCTTATCAACTGTTACAAATACAAAGTAAAATCAGTAACATTCGATTTTTAGTAACAGAGATGTGTGTCTACATTTGTGGCCAAGCCACGTACCTCAGGCTCGGAAGGTTGCAAGTTTATGGGGAAAAAATTTAGAAGTTGCATATTCAGCATGCT